AAGTAACTCACCCACCTATGTTGAATATCTTTTTCTAAGAAAAGTACTTTTTTATTTTCATTTTTAATACACTTTACTCGAGTTAAATCTTTACTTTTCTTTTCTCTTTGTTTTGCTAGTTTATACATATATTTTTCACTCTTCTTAGTATATAATCTATTATAAAGATCATTCAAAGCAGAATTTTTAGCGTCACGGATTGTTCTTTTAAACTTTCTGCGGATCGTTTGATATTTTCCTCAGTTCTCTAAGCTTTTACATTTAAATCAATTTTTATAACATAACTTCCTATATTTTATCTTTTCTTGCACATTATTATTTCACCACCAACTATTTTTATTTATAAAAACTTTTTTCTTTTGATTCTCCAAACACATTTTTTGCTACTTATTTAATAGTGTTTGTTACTTTATCTCATATAACATTTGCTTCTTCATGAATATCTCAAATTTTGGAATCTTGAATTTTACTCATAAAAATAATTTTATTTGTCTTTTAAGTTTCTTCATCTAATTCTACGATGATGGGTCCTAATAATTTTTATTTTATAACTCTTAATCATAAAATCTAGAACTAATAAACGATGTTGGGTACTTAAATTCTCAATTGAAATGACCTTACAACCTTTACAATCGCGACGATCTCTTCTTCTCATAAAAAATAATCAATTTGTATTTTATTAAATCCACTCTTATAAGTAATAAGATGTTCATCTTTTTTCTTGAATAAAATATTAGTAATAATAAAATCATACGCTAAAACAAAATCTAAAATAACTCTACCTTCTTCATTAGTTACTCCAAAACCGTAGCCACCATGAGTATTTCTAAATTCTTCTACCACTCTACCGACATGTCCATTTAAATCTTCTCCAATAAAAATTTTTTCTTCAAGAGGTGTCATCTGTATTAAGTTTTCTAAGTCATTCCAAATTTTATCTTTAAACCCTGTATCTAAACCTACTTGAGGAGCATAAGCACTAATAATATTAAAAATCTTAGTATCAATGATAATCTTAAGTGCTATAATTATATCTCCAATTTTATTAATATTTACAACATTATCTTTCAAACTCTTATCTATAATTACACCTATACCATTTCTAGAGTGACTCTTACTAGAATAGCAAAATTTAAAACCTAAATTATCAATCTCCTTAGTTTTTTCTCCAACCCACTTAGTTTCTTGAATGCATAAGATATTAATTTTCCTAGATATTAATCCTATGAATCTAGATATAAACCAATATTATGTGAAGAACATTGTTATCTAAATAACAATGAACCAAAAAGCTCCATGCAAAAACCTTCGAGATAAATGGCAATACCTGATACTCATAGACTCCAGGTGCCTCATAACTACCTGCAAGGTAGCTACCCATCATCACAGTAGAGGCACCAAGAGCCAAAGCCTTCACAATATGGCCAGAAAACGAAATCCCTCCATCAGCAATAACTGGTACGTCGTAATCCTTTGCCACAGTTGCAACTTTGTACACAGCTGTCGCCTACAAGAATTAAAGTTTATGAAATTAATAACCTTCAAGGAAACAATAGTCAAACGAAAGAAAGTGGAGCCATATGGATGTCATTATAAGCACGTATCAAATGTGAAGTACTAGAGCATTTGTGTGGAGAGTGAGAAGTCAAAAATCATATATAGGATAACAAAATATTTCAATGTAAGTTATTCAAATCTGATCAGAACAATGGCCTTAAGAATAATAACAAACCAAAACCAAAGATCTTTCATGAGTATATAGATAACTAACAGCCAAAAACAAAACGGGATCACTAATGACACTAGGAGCCAGTCGATTTATGTTATTAATAATGCCCCCTATTACTAGCTACTCTTGTTAAGAAGTGCTTCAGTTCAACTAATTCTGCTTTTCTGCTTATCTTTATAGCTATATAATTTTTGTTTAGGAATATATATATATAGATAGATAGATAGATAGATAGATAGATAGATAGATAGATAGATAGATAGATAGATAGATAGATAGATAGATAGATAGATAGATAGATAGATAGATAGATAGATAGATAGATAGATATAAAGATATATAGATATATATATATATATATATATATCCACTACTCTACAGTACAGTGTTGGTTATTGATATATTTCCTATTTGGATTCCTATAGTGAAAAGCTAGTTCCTCTGTTTCTGTCATTTGTCTACTTCCTCATAACTGGTTTGCACCATAATTTTTTTGGCTTAAATTGTTGAGAGTAATTCCCATTTATAAAAATGCATATGAGTGAATTCTCATTCTTGACATTCACCGTATGATCGAGTTTAAACATTGAGGGCAATGTCGTGCTTTCAATTTTGCATTAGTATCTTTAATGGTCGAAGAATATTATATTAAAGGGCGATTGAGATAGAATATTAATTTTTAAGTAAAATAATAACAAATAAAATTTAATATAAGAGAGATAAAAATAACTTATTTTAGTTTGAAATAAAATATGAATTGGGTTCAAAAGTTCTTGCAAAATAAACACATATCAACCCATTTCATTATCACGCATTTCTGGAACTAAGATTCAAACAATTTTAAACACTAACCGTGAAACAAACTTACATTAGACATGGAATAAATAATGGAGTTTTCACACTTACTAAGGGAAAAAGGCCCCACCACCATCAATTGATCCCTTTCCTCTTATGCAAATGAGCATTTATATCTTTCAAATACCAAAAATACCAATTTTTGTATGATGAGTATGATGATAACAACTAAAAAAAAGAAAAAAAAATCTCTATAGCATAATGAAACGTTATAGTCTGGTGTAGCCAATCAAAACATGGCTCACAGAGCAAAAATGGTGTCATACACCTCCTGGAGCATCCTGCACATTACTCGACAGCAATTCATACAACATTAAGCTTTCAAAGAAAAAAAATTATAAAACTTAAAAAGGAAATTTACATACATACCATATAAATCTTAAGCATTTACATATCTAACATCTAAGCATTGATATTTACTTTTATAACACCCTAAATTTTAATATCACAACAAAATACATTTGATTTGTGTATATTTTCTCTTTGATTGATGATTAATATTAACTTTTTTAAGGAAAACATCACTTAAAAGATAGTGAGCATAAAACTCATCCTTATCATAAAAGTCTAACGGCCCTAGCAGTTTCGCTCAACAGAATATGCGCAGCACCGAAATCAATCAACTTTTTCAGTTTGTATAAATCTTTATAGAATTAGTGATGGAACAAGCAGAAGAATATTCTCAACAAAATTTACCTGTCCTCTACCGACTGCACAAACTTCTTGTGTTGTACAGATTGAACCGGATCCCATCCCTACCCTTAATCCGTCAACACCAGCCATGATCAAATTTTGCGCCTGGGACATCGTCACCACATTACCCCCAATAACATCAAGTCCGGGATAATTACTCTTTGCATACTTGATCAAATCAATTTGATACTTCGAGTTACCCTGCGAGCTATCCACGACCACAACATTCACACCTGCCTTCACCAAATGCGCCAACCGTTCTTTATCCTCTTCTCTAGTTCCTATAGCCGCTCCGACCAAAAATTTCCCATCAGGGCCCAAAGATGGCGCTCCAAGCTTAGGGAAGCCGCGGATCAGCTCCAAATCCTCGGCCCTGAAGAGATCAACAATTTCCCCTTCCTCTCCCGCCAGTGCCACCAGCTCCAGCCCCTCGCCAGCTAAAAAACCCGCCACCTGCTCGATATCACAGTTCACGGCGATTGACGGCGGCGGTGGCCGCATATACTTCGACACTGGAGAGGCCTTATCAGCCACCGCTTCCCAATCCGAAAGAGAAACGACACCCACCGGCTTCGACTTAGAGCTTCCCGACTCAGTGACAATCGCGAATGACGCGGAGCCGAAATCAGCAGCGGAGGACACTGCATCGGATGGTGCGAGAAAGGCCGGGTCGGAGGCAAAGGGGATGCGACGTGACTTGGCAGATCGGATGATGTCGGCCTGATGAGCGGGGGTGGTGTTGCAGTGGATGATGGCGGCGCCGCCGAGGGAGGCCATGGCGACGGCCATGGATGCCTCGGAAACAGTATCCATCGGAGAGGCGACGCAAGGGATAGAAAGGGGGAGGTTGCGGGAGAGACGGGTGGAGAGATCGACCGCGTCGGCGGGGAAATCGATGTAATGCGGGAGAAATATCACGTCCTCATAGGTGTAGGAGAAACCTTGCGCGAAGAGTCGGGAGGCCGGAAAGCCGTCATCGAACTGGACCGCTATAGCTGCTCCCTTCGCGTCGGCGACCATAGCTGCTCCCTTCGCGTCGCCGACGGCAGGGTTTGAGTCTTCGGACGAGGAAGGGATTTTGCTATACGGCTTTGATATGGTAAATAATCAAACTTGCTAGTGGGTTTGGCGCCTTGACAGCATGCCCGAGATTTTTAGGCTTATAATATTTTGTAGTTATCTTATAATAGCAAGATAAGACAATTTATTAGCTATCCCCCAAAGTATATTTGTCAGCAAGTCTAGCAAATATTGTTAAGTCTGTCTTGCGGACGCCGAGCTACATCCGAGCAATAGCCCCGTCGTGATACAACAGAAATCAGACGTAATAATCTCTCCCTATCAAGACACCACGGAGTATATTATCGGACATATGAAAAATGAGCATTTACAACAACCTACAAGAAAAACCAACAACTAAAAAACAACAGTAGCCCCCAACCAAAATAGCACCAAATCCACGGGAAAAAAAGAGCAACATCAATCTACACAAGCAGGTCATAGAGTTATGAATCTGCAAAAAAAAAATCAAAACAAAACTAACCAAATCAATCAAAATGAATAATGAAATTACAAGAAAGAATCAATTAAAAACATAACGCTAACAAGAACAAAAGAAAAAAACAAACAAACCATACCAAACAAAGAAACAGACCAAGCAGAAAAACAACTACTAAAAATCAGAGTTAATGTCGAAAAATTTAATAATAGGACCGGATATTTTTCTCGTAAATTTCAAATTACTACTTTTAAAAATAATCATCGAATGAAATGAGGATGTTTTACCTAGAAAACTCACTAAATATACTTAAATGGCTAAGTTCCCCAAGTCTAAATACTTAGTATTTAGTTAAAATTCAAATAGGTTAAGCAGCGAATTGAGGGTCAATCAGTCATTTCAAGTATATACATTTCATATACAAGTAAGTCGCATCGCTAACACTCTTTACAGATAAAATCTCTTATAAAATTTTGTTTCCACATGTAAAAGAAAAAAATACTTACCTAAGTATGTGGATGAATCTTAAAAGTGAAGTGTAAACATGAAAGATTTGACTTAAATTCTCTCAAATATAAGACTCAAACATACAATAGTAAATCAAATACTTGAGATAAAAATATAGGAGGAATAATTAAATGAAGAACATCAAATTAGGATAAAAAACCAAAATTGAGCTTAAAAAATATTGATTTATCACACCAAATGTCAAATTAGGAAAACAAGCCTTGAAACTTATAAGACCTGATTTACACCATGACCAAATAATTAGGGATCAAAACAAATCACGAGTTAATTAATAAATCCCAAAAATTATTAAAAATCACAAACCTTAAATTTTCACAACCACCGCCTAGATTGACCAATATTGTGAATCTTAGGTCAGCCAACAAAGAATTAAAGCTAAGGATTAACAAACCCTAAAGTTGTTCAGTTTATAAGCCTATCATAGTTTACTATGAACCTAATAGCTAGTGTTAAGGACTAAGACCTATAAAATAGACAACCTTGCCCCGTGGATTATGTGGGTACCTCATAATGAAGTAACACATGGTTACTAACAAAGGAATCCCAAACTCTTAAATAGTAGGAAGCTCTAAGAGAGCACTTGTTATTTAGTTTGTTAATAGTCTAAGGATTCTAATGCAACCAAAATGATGGAAAGCCACGAACAATTTGGCTTGGGGTGTTATTCCCAAAATTTTGGTTGGTCTACCCATTTAGCCTTATTGTTAGGGTTATTTTAGGTCAAGGACTCACCTTCATGTAGAAATCCCCCTAATTATTCCTACCCCAAGACTCGAGTCAATTCCAAAGTCTTACTTAGATCTAATTTCTTCAAATCCAACTTCCAAATCAAACTCAACTTCATATCAAGTTCAAATTCAAATTCAACTTGCTAAACTCAAATCAAATTCCAAAGATTAAATAAAATTGACTTTTCTACGTCTTAAACTCAACACCGAACTCCAACTCAAATAAAACCAAATTTGATAACAAACCCTCATCTAGATCCCTAATTGTAAGACCCAAACCCTATAAATTTGAGCTCTTAAAACTCGAACCCAAATTTAGATAAAGCTTAATCAAATTTCCAACAACTTTATAAAATATAGTAAACTTCATTCAAATTTAATTTAAATCAACTCCACCAAATATTAATAATTCTCAAGAACCATAAATAAAATTTTAACAAACATTACCTAAATTTAACAAACATAAACAAATTTCAGCAAAATTAAATAAATTTCATTAAACTTTAAATAACTTTAATACCTTAACATTTTTTAACTAACTTAAATTTAACAAAGTTTAATAAATTTTAACCAACCTTAAGAAGCATCAATAAATCTTAAATATTTAAATAGATTTCAATAATGAACTTATTAATCATTAAATGAATCTTAATAATCTTTGAATAAACTTTAATAATTCTAAAATAAATTCTAAAATAAACTAAAAAAATTCTAATAATTGTAAACAATAGTTACATAAAAAAACCAATTTCAAAGAACTTAAAAAAAATGATTTTTAAACAAACATAACATAAATAAATTTAAACACGTTCAAAATAAAGAACTTCTAGAATAAATTTAATTCAATCAAAACAATTAAATCAATTCAATCATTTAAATGAAATTCAACTTAACCAACTCACGTTTTCAACTCAAGTGAATCAAACCTAATCAAGCTTACCCTAAATCTTCTTATTCCACGCAAATCATTTCAAAATCCTCAAGTCTATCAATATGAGTCTTTGATGTCAATCATCTCACATGCACTTACTGATAATTGTGCATGATATAAGTCAAAACTTTAATCGATAGTATTCTTAGGAGCCATTACTCCTGAGATTTTATTAGTCATGAGAGATTTCCCTCTTAGGGATGTTAAACCCCAACATAAAATAAATCTTATCTTACATTCTTAAGGTAAGGAAAAGACATTGGTTTCGTAGACCCATAAATCATTGAGATTTCATCATTTTGGTGATTAGATTCATTCTAAGGTAATATTTATATCCCTCAAGGTAGTATGTTATTCTTCGAATATCATAACTAATCATTTAGATAGAAATCTTTCGAGATCTACGGTGGATATGTAATAACAACCCCACCACCATTAACATGTATTGGAACATAATCAAAAGAAGAACCAATTAAGGATGTAAGACCCATCATAGATGCTCGATGGTGCTAATCTATGTTAGAGTATAGTCAAACGAAGAATTCGTTAAATATATAAGACACATCCTATATTATTTGGGTGGAGATGCTCAATGATATTAATTTGTATTAAAATGTAGTTAAAAGGAGAATTCGTTAAAGATGTAAATCTATCCTAGGTTTTATAGGTAGAGCATATGCTTGAAAGCATTAGCTTGTGATAAACAAAGTCATATCAAATCTATTGAGAGTTTTGACATATCTGAGATCGTTAGTTGAATCTTCTTCTTGATGAATGTAACTTGTGATGGAAGAGGTTAATATAGTCCCCCTACAATCGAATAAGCTCGGAATGAGGTGTCAAAAAAGATTTTACATTTCTCAAGGGTTGGCTTAAATCGAGACGAATCATAATTTTTTTGGTAAACATGATTGCAACCATACTCAGTAATAATGTTTATCAGCTTGCTGGTTGCTACTTTTGAATTTGATATCCCCCAACGAGGGTATTTTTCACATGAGTTTGTAAACTAACTCGTGTAACAAACCTTGAAGAGATTAACTTTCTGATTCGGTTGAAGAGGAACTCTAGTACGGGGAGGGTGCATTGAGGAAGCGCTCTTTACAATGAAGGTTGACCTCAGTTTGTAAGTGATTCTTAAAGACTGATGTTTGAATGAGAATTAACTACCCTGCCACAATTATGCCCTATATGTTAATATAAATGACCTTTTGAGATTGTAATAAAGATTGTTCATCCAAACTCTGATATCAATGAGTTTCTGGTCGAACTCAAAGTCTTAATGGAACGAGTCCATCCACACATCATAAATGATCAGGTCTGGCTCCAAATTAGTCAAGATCCAAGCAATTGAGGCATGATTAAAAATATTTTTAGGTATTAGATGGAGAATCAAATAATCTTCAAATGCTACATCGAATATAGTAGGAATCTTAGAACTCTACTTGGCTGCCACCATCAAATTATTTTCAATTCAATTAGTGTGTGCTTATTTAATTTGTCCAATCTCATTTGGGTAGATAATTATTGAAGGAAGATTTACTTATCACCACTCAACTCTTATGTATTTACATAACTAACACCATACATACAACCTTACCTATGCATGAAATTATATTTTTAAAGTTATGTTATGAAAGAATTGGGTGGTGCAAATATAAATAGTAGAGTTTTGGTGTTAGATATGCAAATATATAGAAATTGGTGGTGTGAATGTAAATTCCCATCCTGCAATTGACCAAGTTTTTTATTCTATTCTTGCCAGACTTTGGATAACTTTAATAAAGTGAATAGATAACTGCAACTAAGAGTAGGAAAATAACATCTTTTTTAAAACAATTTAAAGGACAACAGGGTTATAAATGATATATATATATATATATATATATATATATATATATATATAATATATATTCAAGATTATTGCTGTTATATTTAAAGTTAAATTACAGCTATTCAGTTCCATGTCTTTGTTGTATTAATGATTAAAAAAACCAATTTTCTTCTATAGGATTGCATGGAGAGCTTCCCTTGATCATATGGCGTTTACTGGATATTTGAGTACATCAATGATGTCGAAATTGAGTGGTCTTGGACTTATTGGATTCATCTTGTCGAGCAGCTCGATTCGAGTATAAACTTGTCATATTCGACTATTCTTTGATCTTTCAAATGTGTCCGTAAATCATTTAAGTGTGGTTCAATGACTTGATCTGGGCTTGATTTGACTCGATTGGGCTATTTTTCATATCATTATGTTTGACTTGATCGGTCAGTTTGACTATAAGTTTGCTGAAATCGGTGTTCTGAATGACTTCTTATCAAAATTTGAATGTTTCACGCTTAAAATATCGTCTCGAGATTTGTTTCATACCTCAATATTCGTGCCGGATGATGAAAATTTATTAGTGGCGTATCACTGCTATATTTTAAGTTAAATTACAGCTATTCAGTTCCATGTCTTTTTTTGTAATTTGAATAATATGAAAAGCTTGTTCTCTGCAACATGTTCCTAGTTTGGCCTGATAGCTTCTATGAAATTATTCTTATAAAAAAAAACAATTTAAATATTTATGTACATTAAATAGAATTAAAAAAATTGCTCTGCAATATTATTTATTCAGCTGATATTATATTCTTCCTCTGTGAATGGTTTTAGTCTGTTGGCAATATTCATCTATTTTAATCTTTCATGACATCTGCATTGAAATTGTATTATGGCTTCATTTTTATTGTGAAGCCTCTTTGTTCCTTTGTGATGGCTTTCCATCTCTGATGAGAAGGCCTTAAAGTCCATCTTTCTACCTATGAGATTGTTTGCATATAGTCATAAAATAAAGAGAAGTGTGAAGCTTGTTTTAAATGCACAAAAAAATATGTTCTTTGTGCTTTAGAAGACTATAACATCTTTTGCATATAATATCTTCATATTTATTTAAAAAAATAGTCCTACATGCTTCATTTATATCTTTTCACAAACATAAGTTTTTATTATTTATTTATTTATTTATTATTATTATTTTGTTTATTTAAGTTTTATCTTCCACCTTTTAGAAAGTTAAGTTAACTACTACATGACTCATGTTTTGACCAAGATGCTTAACTATTTGGTTATGTTCCATCCTCTAAGTAGAGAGACAACCACACTTTCTAGTCATTTTGAAATTCATATCATCAAAGTCTAAGAATAATGTGCAAAAAAAGGCTACAATATTTAATAAATGAATAATAAATTTTTTTCACTTATTTAATACATATTAATACAATAAAATCATCATAATACACTTAAAAATGGTTGTTTTAAGGAAGTTTCTAAACATGTTAGGGCCGTTTATTTGTTTTTTTGCCTTTGTTTTATGAGAACATGTTTGTTTTTAATTTTTTTTTTTACATGATTTTCACTCTTTTTGAAACAAATTAAATTATTTTAAAAGCGCCTAAAATGTGATTCAAATCAATGTCCGTTGGAAGAAATATTATGTTTTACACGTATATACAAAGGATGATTCAAACGCACTTGAAAAATAAATTCAATTCACAGCTTTTTGTACTTGATCCGTGCTAGAAAATTTGCGGCAGTAGAGTAACGAATTTTGATCTGACCCAGTTGAAAAAATCCAATATTTATTGATGATTATAAAAATTCATTATCTCGTAAACGGGAAAGGGTAACTATATTTTTTAGATTACAACGTCAACTGAAAGCGTCTAGTTGGTGGCAATCGATGATGGTTATCGATAGTCGAAGACGGTTGGCGGTGGTCAACGAAGATCGGCGGTGGTCAACGGCAATCAGTGGTGGTCGACGACGGTAGGTTGTGGTCGATGACGGTAGGCGGTGGTCGACTAAAATCGGCCGTGGTTGACAACGGTTGACGGTAGTCGACGGTGGTTGACGATGATCGACTGTTGTCGGCAGTGATCGAGGACTGTCGGCGGTGATGGTAAGCTGCAGCTCTTCCTCAAAGCCTCAAGCTTTCTCTCTAAGCTTAAGCTCTCCCTCATGAGATGGGTTGGACTCTATTTATACTGTTATGGGTACAATTAATGCAGAAATATGAATCATTTTGAATGAACGGACGAAATAACTTCCTTCAATCAGACGGTATTTTATAGACATTTGGATGTATTAATGATGTCAGAATTGAGTGATATTGGGCTCGTTAGATTTGTCTTGTCGAGACACTCGATTCAACTATAAACTTGCCAGATTCGACATATATTTAAAATTCCAAATGTGTCCAGGAATCTTCAAAAAGTGGTTAAATAACTTGATACAGACTTAATTTGACTCGGATTTAACTAAGTTTGATCCTATTAGGTTCATCTCATTGAGCTGATTAGTTTGACTATAAATTTGCTGAAATCAAAGTTTTAAATGACTTTTTATCAAGATTTAAATATTTCTTGATCTAAATATTATCTCGAGATCTGTGTAATGCCTCAAGATTCGTGCATGATGATTAAATTTTGTTGGTGGCTTATTAGTACTCATTTGAATTGTCTTCCTCAAGAAAAAGTATTCAGTCTAGATACCGTACGTCCGAACGTCCAACCACTAGAAATCACATCATCATACATTTTATCGATGGGCGACGTGACATCCGATGATTGGCTATCACCTAATATATTTTCCTCCACATATAGCTATTATTTCTTATTGCAATCGAATGCAAGTAGGTAATATTAGTAATCCAAATAGAGAACAGTTAAATCGAAAAAGACTTCTTAGATCTAATTTTTTTTCCAATAAAAACTTTTGAACTTCCCAAAAAATTGCCGGAGTGATCCTTACACTCTCTCCCGCAAGCTTTGAAATTTCCTTTCATCGCCATGATTACAAAATGGCTTCCCGCGCTCTGCTCTCGCGCCGCTCTCTTCCATTCCTTCGACTCCACTCCTCTTGCTCCTCCTTCGCCTTCTTTTATTTCACCCCTTCCCCTCAAGCCTACCTTGCTTCCCCCTTCTCTCAAACGCAAAAACCCCACCTTTATAGCTCCCTCGCTCACCAGCTTCTCGATGAAATCTCCCAACCGGAGTTCTCTTACTGCAACAACACCATTACTTACCTCTCCCACCGACGCTCCTTCTCTGAAGTGCTCCAATTCTATGTCATCATCCTTCGAAGTGGCCATCTCCCTAATGGCTCGACTCTCCCATGCGTCCTCAAGGCCTGCACTGCTCTCCCCGCCCTCTTCTTTGGATACGCCGTTCACGCCCATATCATCCGCCATGGTTTCGAGGCTGCCACCTTCATTCAGAACGGAGTCATCGTAATGTATTCGAGGTTTGGCGATATTTTTACCGCCCATCAGGTGTTTGAAAATTTGCCTCATCGGAATGTGGTCTCCTGGACCTCAATTATATCCGGCTATGCTCAGAACGGATTTCCTCTGCAAGCTCTTCATATTTTCCGAACGATGAGGTTGGATTCGCCTATCGCTCCAGATTTCATAGCACTGGTTAGTGTTTTGAAGGCTTATATGGACGTGGGAGATTTGGAGCAGGGAAGATGTGTTCATGGTTTGGCGGTGAAGTTTGGGCTTGTGGATGAACCGGATTTGCTCATTACTCTCACTTCCATGTATGCAAAGTGTGGTCTGGTGGATACTGCAAGGGCCATGTTTGATCAGGTTTCTTTACCGGAGCTAATCCTTTGGAATGCAATGATCTCTGGGTATGCAAAGAACGGGCATGCAGAGGAAGCAGTGAAGCTCTTCAAGAAGATGGTTGCGAACGAGAAGATTGAACCAGATTCAATCACTTTAAGATCAGCCATTCTGGCTTGCGCCCAGGTTGGATCTCTCGAATCTGCGAATTGGATTTGGGAGTTTGTTAGTAGCAGCGTTTTGAAAGATGACGTTTTTGTTAACACGGCCATCATTGATATGTACGCCAAGTGTGGAAGTGTTGTTCTCGCTCGCAAGGTGTTTGATAGTATTCCTCAGAAGGATGTTGTTGTGTGGAGTGCCATGATCATGGGCTATGGATTGTATGGGCAGGGGAAGGAAGCCATTAATCTCTTCCATGAGATGATTCAATCTCAGGTTAGACCAAACGACGTCACATTCATTGGTTTGCTTTCAGCTTGCAAGCATGCCGGATTGGTTCAAGATGGTCGAAAATGCTTTCATTTGATGAGAAACCATGCCGTCAAGCCTCGTCATCAACATTATGCTTGCATAGTCGATCTTCTTGCTCGTGCTGGATACCTCGAAGAAGCTCACGAGTTTATCAGAGAAATGCCAATGGTGCCAGAGGTGACTGTATGGGGGGCTTTACTGAATGCATGCAGGATACATGGCCATGTGGAACTAGGAAAATATGCAGCTGAAAGAGTTTTTGCCATAGAACCATGGAATGCAGGGCACTATGTTCAACTTTCCAACATATATGCTTCCGCTGGTTTGTGGAAAGATGTTGCAAAAGTTCGCTTATTAATGAGGGAAAAGTTACGAAGGCCACGGGATTCAGCTCTATTGACATTAATGGAAAGATTCAATCTTTTTATGCCGGGGACAAGTCTCACCCGAGATCCAAGGAAATATTTGCGAAGCTGGATGAACTGGAGAGGAAGCTAAAAAAAAATGGATTTTTACCTCATACTGACTCTGTCTTGCATGATCTGGGGCTTGAGGAGAAGGAGCTATCTTTGTGTAATCACAGTGAGAGGATAGCAATGGCATATGGTCTTATCTGCACTCCCCCTCGCATGACCCTTCGAATTACGAAGAATCTTCGTGCCTGTGTCAACTGCCACTCTGCCACTAAGCTTATTTCGAAGATTGTGGAACGAGAAATAATTGTTCGAGATGCAAATCGTTTTCATCACTTCAAAGATGGTTTCTGTTCTTGTGGTGATTACTGGTGATGGGACTAGAGACCAGTCATTGAATTACAAGGTCCATTTTCTGAAGGAAACCAACAATTGTAGAATTTTCATAATGGGTATAGCTGGAGTCATTGGCATTCTGTTGAACTGGCATAAAATTTCACTTTGCTGGAGGGACTCTATCTTTTATGGTTAACAATCTCATGTCAAATGGAAGGTATACCATTTAAAATAAGAAGATTTACATACATGCTGCTTCATTTTTATGTCTTTACATATCTAACCTCTAAACTTCAATTTTTAGATATATGTCACTTTACCAATACATGTAAAGGTGTATTTTGCCTTTTAAAAGTTAAAAAAGTAGTGTTTTCTATGTGATATGAAAGATTCAGGTGATATAAATGCAAAAAGTCAAGTTTAAGCATTGGATATGCAAATACATAGAAGTTGGGTGGCTATATGTAAATGCCTCTTTAAAATATATGAAGGAATGTATGATTAACTATTTTTTAAAACTGAAATGATGTTTGAAGGAAGTATTTGACATATGTTTTTAATAATTATTTAGGTTATATGTATTTCTTTTTAATGATGGAGCTTGCCCTTCTCAGAATGAGGCCTCATCTTCAGATCTCTTGAAAATGTGTGCAAGGTAAAATTCTTTAGTTAGTTTTTTTCTAATAATTTTGATACACCATTTCCAAAAATTTGTATACACTTTACTCGCTTCTTTTCTTTGAATACAGCGATGTTACTTTTGAAATTCCTAAATTTGTTTCTAATTATTCCACTCTTAGTGTTAACAGCTAAAAACTAACGTCTCGGTTTGACACTTAGAATTGTTTTATAAGATCGGAAAGGGGGGAATGTGGAAGAAAGAATGATGCGAGTGATTAGGGTTTTGATTAGAAGGAGAAGAAAGAAGTGGAACACTAAACAGTTTATAATCAGAGAGTTATTTCTTAAGATTTTTATTACTAGAATTTCCCTCTGCTTATAATCATGTTGAGCCTGGTGTATTTATGTATATACATTTTTTGTGATGTAAGATTGATAATTGTCATTAAATATTGCTAGAAGTTCAAGTAACACTTAAGTATAGTATCTAGACTTGTTATACGATAGAATGGGGATACATATGAAGATATAATTAGTAGAGTTAAGCTTTAGTGATAAGGAATTAAGAAAGTAACTTGTAATTATAATATGATAATGAGAATATCATCAAAATTTGATAGACAAATCAATTTAAACTACACTTTCAATCAATTATGTTATATGAATTAGAGTGTTAGGCAATAAAGATGCCATTGATGACTAATTGTGGTAGACACATGAATCTTATGATTGATATTTAAGAAAATTAAGAATGATAGATTAAAAAACAATTATATGATGTTGAGCAAAATGAAGTTGAGAAAACAGATTTAGCACTTCATAGTAACAATAGATAAAAATGATTATATCATGGTGATGATGATGTAGCATGGTCTATAATCATCACAACAATTTTACAAGCATTATAATATTTTACCAAAAAGCCTTCGTATGCCATTGACAAAGCAAAAAGGCCAAATATTCATAATACTAAAGAATGAAGTAGTCCTAAAAGTTGTCTTAAACTTATTTACTTTAAATGCTACATGTTTATTCTTTTTCTTTATCCATTATTGTCCAATCTCACTCTAAAACAACTTTTTGGCATTAGTTTAGCTCACTCTTTGATAGATGATTTGATTACGCGCATGTAAGCCTTTATTGGTCGGCATTACGTTTGCATGTTATTGTTGAAAGATTTACAGACATATCACACAATTCTTACGTATTTACACATCTAACACCTAAACTTCAATTTTTACATATGTCACCTTCCCTAGATATGAACATATATCACTTTTTAAAATTTTAAATAGTGATACTTCTGATGGATATGAAAGTTTTGGGTGTTATATATGTAATAAACAAAAGTTTAGGTGTTTGGTATTTAAATATATAAGAATTGGGAGGTATTTATGTAAATGCCCCTTTATTATTCATAGATACCTCTTTCTCCCCCAAAAAAGATTTTTTTGGCTATATATTTCTCTTACATAGGTGGGATACTGAAAGCAAATATAAAATAAAAAAAAAGAGTAAACAATACTAGTCCTTTGTTTTCTTGGGACATTTACATCCAAAGCACCCAATTCCCATGGATTAACATATATAACAACTTAACTTTGTTTTTTGTTTACATTTATACCACCCAAATCTTTCATATCACATAAAAAATACCACTTTTCTAACTTTCAAAAAGGGAAATACATCTTTGCATGCATAAGAAAGGTGGTTTAAATGTAAACATTGAAGTTTAGGTGTTAGGTATGTAAATGCATAGGAATTGAGTGGTATGTATGTAAACCTTGATTTTTTTTTCCTTAAATGAGAGATTTACGCATGTAACCAATTATTTACTGCTAGGGCCGGATCTTTAGAAATGTTAAATGTGCAGATAGAATTCTAACTTAATATACTGATGAAATCTTTTTTTCTTAAATGTAGACATAAGATAAACTTTACAGTATTGTTTTTCACTAAACTTTACACGCTCTGCTGACTTATGCATTCGTTTTGTAGATCGTCTTTGAATTGAGACTTAGGCGGTTTTTGAAATCATATAACTTATCGGATTTAGTCGTGCATTTAACTTAAATCCAACCAAACACCAGAAAAACTAAAATATAAATCCAACTTTCCTTTAAATCCAATTTTCTTGCATTCAATCGTTTTCTTCTCGCATTCCGTCATTTTCACGATGTAAATTCGGATTTAATAAATCTGATTGTGAGGCGGATTTATTTGGTCGTTGCTCCTGAACTCCTCGGTGGAAGATTTATTTAACGTAAAACTAAGTTGCAGCCAAACACCACGGTAGCATGCTCTGGCTCGCCAAACCTCAGTTTGTTCATATAACTACCACGTTCCCATAAAACTCAACTATAGTTGACTTAAACTCATCCTTCCTTTCTTTCTCTGCACACTCTTTTTCTTCTCCACAATCCAATCTCAAATCTAGTTTGTTTAGGGGTTTAGTTAAATGATCTAATAAATATTAAACTTACTTTGATGTGATTTAAATAATGTAATAATGATATTATAATGATACTTTTATCAATTCAATCTTTAGTATTTTAGTTCAAGATACATCTTAACTATTTTTTTTATTTTTAATCTAAATATTTTATTTCTATTCATTCAATCAAAATAAATAAATTAATTAATAAGCCTATTGAGCAATTTTAGAATATGCAGTTTCATCAAATATTAGACCTGCCGATTTTTGTCGGTTTGTGCACGAGTAATTTTGGATTGGACCGAGTAAGTTTAAAGATCAGATGACCGATTGACGGTTGAACCGATCGGACCGATGAGCTCGTTGTAGTTTTTAAAATCATAGCTTTTGCCAATGCTCTTCTTCATTATAGACGATATTACCATCATGCTCATGCAGGTCATCTCATAATGAACGGTCAATATTTACCATCAACACAGTATTAAATTACCACTATGGAGTTGCATCATCCTCCCCTGCCTCAGTAGACAATCACTCGAGAAGGTTGCGCCAACGCCATTATATTCAATGTCCAAAATCTTTGGAGTGGTATGGATGTAATTTCAGGTAATTGTGAGGGTTTTCTTTTCAAATAAAGTGAGCTATAAGCTCATCTTTTTTATGGTAACTTAGAATTTATAATGTTAGCTCTCTTTTATGATGTGGGACTAAATGACTTATCTAGGGGTTCTTGTCATGTTGAGGTGCAACAACTCAATCCTAGCTTCACCATCCACTTTGGATGGTTGGGATTGAATTCAACAAAAAAATAGAGTGTGGAAAGATTTAAAATAGGGAAAGTTTACATACATACCATATAATTATTATGCATTTGCATGGTTAACCCCCGAAGTTTGATATTTGTATTTATAACACTTTGATATCAACAATCTATGCATGATAGTGATATTTTAGATGTGATGTTAAAAATTTGAGGTTTAGGTATATGAATATGAATGTCTAGGCAGTAGATATGTGGATATAAAAGAATGGAGGGGTATGTATGGAATTGCCCCTTACAATTAATGAAAGAAATCATTTGGCATCTTTCTATTTATATGAACTAGTATGACTTCTTCAAAAGCTCTTAAATTTATGCAATTATGTTGGGGTTATTATTATTATTTTTGAATTGTATATAAATAATTTGAAAATATATGTGTTTAGATTAACGGTTAAAAAAGGTTGTTTTTTTATTTTCATTTACTGACAAAATGAAAGTTAAATAAAAAATAATGTAAATTTTCTTTATAAATATTTTCGTAAAGTTTATAAAATTATTTCGTAAAATACAGAATCATTCATATTTAAAATAATTTTTTATGAGCTCATTAATATATATATATATATATATATATACTCTTTTGAGAAGAATGGTTGGAGGCCATCATATCAATTTTCAATTAACTTCATGTATCTAACCATTCAATTCTGCACTGCAATATAGATGTACTCAGGCGGGCTTGAACCTATGACTTCAGAGAACTTACGATTGACAGTACAATTACCAGCAAAAGTCACGGTGTGTAGCACATCAAGAAATGTTATTTAAGTCAAAATACTTTCAAATTCATTTGCCAGATTATAGTCTGTTTAGTTGTGTCAAGTGTAAATGAGTTGAATAATGACTCAATCTTGATTAGTCAATTGAATTTGAGCTAATTTATGAGTAGCTTATTTATTATGAAGATGAGAAAACAATGTTAATTCAATTTAGTATTATAAATAAACGATAAAAGAATGAGCACTTATTAATTATATAAAAAAAAATGTTGATGTAAAATTTAAAAATTTAAATATTTGTAATAATTTATAAATAAAACCTTGAATTAATATTTCATACATTTCAATATATTTTATATTAATATTATTTTTAAAATTTGTTAGCTCATGAATTAATGAGAAGAGTCAAGGCTAAAATAAATAAAAGTTTTTAGCTTATTGGGTCTAATATATATATATATATGTTGTAAGCGTGGTAGAGTCTCTTTGAAGGTCGTAAGTCCCTTTAGGTCACGTGTTGGTCGGTAATGAGGGTGGTCTTCAAATAATTAGGCACATGGGGTGATTAGGGGCTCGTATAATAGCCCCATTCTTTCCAATCTATATATATATATATATTCATTCAGTAATAGAAATAGGTTTGATATGTTTGCATTAATTTACATGTTAAAAATTAAAAAAAGCCAAGATGGATATAATACAATTTTGATGACTTGAAAAAAATGCATTTTCATGAATGCTAACTGCTTCTAATAAATAAATAAAATCATTATTTTTGCTAGCTATTTACTAAGTAGGATTAATTTATCAATTTACAACAATATCTATTTCAATCATTTTAATCACTCACATCAGCGTAATAACTTTTGTTTTTCAAATAAACTATAATAGAACTAAACTAGATTCAAATCAACTTAAAATTATATATATATATTTAATTATATACATTAATATAAATATTAAACTATATCGCATACAATATATATTTCATATAAACAGCCATTTTGGGTTACTTGATTCAGCTTATATTATATTTGCACTTCCTTATAACAAAATTCAAAATCAACTCAGAAATCAATTATAATATAGCTAAGATAAAACTCAGGCTCAACAACAACACTAAAAAGAACAAAGGAAACCTACTGATTTTGCATGAGAAGTTCTAAAAGATGATTGCAAAAAGGTTACAGAAAAGGGTTCTCACCTGGTGGAATAAACAGAAAAAAATGGCACAGAAAAAAGTCTCCTAGAACTCAAAAAACCTTAACTCCACCATTCCCTCCTTCCTCTTCGTGGAATACCAAGCCAAAAACTTCCCAGAATGGAGCATCCTCAAGGAATAACTCAGCCCATAAATCACATCCTCAACATGAGGAAAGTGACTCCCGGAGGGAGAATTGTTCGAGAATCCTACGTCGGCTCGAAACACTATTGGTCCTGCAACCTGTGAGGGAACATAATTAATCACCTTTTAAAGCAAAACAAATCTACATTAATCTTTTAATGAATAATTTATCTTCGTCGTCATCATATTAGTCTAATAACAATCAATTGAGGATGATTTTATGAATCCTCGTTCTCCATTCAGTCTCATTTGACCAAAATATACACAACCTGATATCAAGATAAGGACAGGAAACTGCATTTTGAATAGTATCAGCAATAAACAACATATTGCCAAAGTAACCCTCATCAAACTTATAAAAAGGCCTCCCAATTATTCATTTGGGAAATAACTCGACTGAAACTCTAAGAAACCTAAGGATTTTCTGTTTTTAGAAACCTTCTTGTCAAATTTCTAGCCTAATTTGAAACTCACTCTTAAACTAAATGCTCTCCACATTAAGATAAATTCCAGCCAAATAACGCTCAACTTCATTGATCAGTTTTGCTCACATTATTCTCGTTAAAAATCAATTAGGCTCCTCAACTCACTGTAGCATTGCCATTGAAAAGAAGTTGGACATTATCACTAACAATTTCTAGAACCCTTACATAGAAAAGAAGCTTGAATTCCGTGTGGGTTAGATCCGCCTTGTTTACTTGCTACTATCAAAATTTGTAATTTTAAGCCATCAACTGGCAAATACTTTTGAGCTCATCTTTTAAAAATAATTTTAAATGGCATCACTCTAATTGTTTGGTAGGGGACAAATTCTTGTACCCAAGTTTGCTAATAGTGGAAGCTTGATCATCAGGTCTAGCCTTGTGACGTTTTCCTTGTGGGTTTTTTTACATGAGAAATCACTGCGTCTCCTTTATCTATTTGGGAGTTTGAACATTCAAAGCCAAAGACAGCCAAACCCACAAATGATGCCTAGTAACCTTTTTTTAAAGGCTCCTCTTGGATTTTGGCAGCTCTTTTAAAGAAACTTTGCTCTTACGAATTAGATCTAACATTAGAAACATATTTATTTTACTTTTAAAATAGTTGAAAGAACCATCTTGCCCATTATACTAATTGAACCTTTTAAGTTATACTATTTCCTACCAAACACTACTGCTCCATATCATACATTTCGATAATATAAAGCTTTTTGATTTTATTTTATTTATTTCTATATAGCTTAAAAGTGGTAGAACAAACAATTCCATTTTTATTCATCATTATTGCAAAGATTGGCTACAATTCTTGACATTTAAGCATCATCCCCTTATCTCAATTGATACTCTTCAAAATTTTAATATTATTGTTGTGAATGGATGTAATTGGGTGTTAGTTTTATAAATATGCAAGATTTCAATGTTTAATATGAAACTGTTGATTATTATTTTCTATAGCTTTCAAATGCTTAGGAACTCATTGAATTCAACTTTTTTAGCACATAAGCTACTAGAATTTTCACTATTTTTTAATAGATAAATTTTCTTAAATGTTATGTTTTTTTGACCTTATCAACTTCAATAATTTCTAACTAAAATCAAACTCTCAATTCAAAAGATGATGCTTTCTAATTTGAAATTTTAAGATTCCATTCGCAGTGACTTCAGCATAATAAATGCACAACACACAACATGAACCTCCATATATTGTTCTTATAACAAATCATGATTCATGAATTTATTATTATTCATTTATGCTAATTTGGGTGTAGACTATATATTCAATATGGAGCAACTGATGGAGACTGATAGCAATATGTTTGTAAATACTGCTTCAAAAACCAGCACCAGTCAAGCATTTTCGAAGTTACAAAGGCTACATGGGCAAACATTTTTATTTTGCAAGGGCTGCATTGAATTTTCATTGAGAATCCATAGTTTCATTGATCATGGTTCCTTATGTTAATAAAAGGATTATAAGTTCACAGAAGACATTAGTTTTGCAAATAATTACCTGTTGTTGAAAAAGCACATTAAGCCTTGGGAAAGTAAGAGGATTCACTTCTCCTTGGACTTTTCCTTTGAAGGTAGTGGAAACCAGATGAGAAAAACCCTTGAGAAGAGCAGAAGCTGAAGAAACATCCAGGCGAGCATCTAATCTGGTGAGGTCATTAAAATCATTTGCAAACCTGCCTCGCTGGAATGAACAGCCAAAGGAGCCAAACAAATCCATATTAAAATGATGTCTACTTCTTGATGGTGAGCTTGATTTGTGAATCTCTTCATCCGTTGTTCGATCTTCTGAGTTCGTAGCCTTGTTCACATTTCCTCCAAACCACGCTTCACAAGTTCCGCCTATTTATGTTGCAAAGTGTAATTTTATTTGAAAAATAGAGCTTAATAATGAGCATAGAAGCGAAGTTAAAATTTGAATCGTATGCATTAAGTTAAGGTGTATCAAAACAAGAGTATGTGGACAGAAAGAAGAACTTACCAAATGTTATCAAAATTCATTTAAACTTGCCAACAAGAATACAAGATGCTCAGGTGGAGCAAGCACAATGGCGCACAATTACATGCACCTTCCCAAACAATTTCTTGTAAAAGGTGGATTATCCGATTATTAGAAAAGTACCTTTTTAAACAGTCAAAACTGCTAAAATAATTTCATGTTTTTTGTTTGTGTGTCTTAAAGCTATCATGACTTGGAGCCATTCACTTCAATCTTATTTTTCTTTATTTAACTTTTATAATCTCCGTTTTATCAAAATGAGTGATGGATAAAATCTTCTAAAATTCTTTGCCGACACATTGCATCCATTTTTCGAATGCATTCTTCTACAAATTCTGAATCTAATAGCCCATAATTTATGATTAACAATAATACACTATAATACTATGAGAAATAATAATTATAAATGAATTTTATCATATTTGTGATGAATTATGACCATCCAACAAAACATGATATAGTTTTTATGAATTAGGGATTAGTCTTCCTATTTTACATGGGATATTTATATAGTTCATGAATTTTGTGCAAGATATATAGAATTACTCGGTTTTTCTTGTGCTGGTAAAATGACCTCATTAAAATTTCATCTTATAGAATTTTGCACTCTTTTCAAAAAGAAATAAACAGTGTTTTATAAGTCACAGCTTTTAAGATTAGATAATCATCTAAAGATTCATGCATCTCCAAAGATGATAGATGCATGATGTTGGCTTTGAAAATCTTTTTGCAAAAAGTGTGCTACTAAGTTGTATTAATTTTGCACTTTTTAGCATCCTCAAATGAAATGCCTGATTTAAGTAGTCCATTAGGAATTTTGAAATGACAGTTGATTGAAAATCCTGCATTACCAGGATTTGATGCTTACTATTGTTAAAGTTGCATATACCTCAGTATTTCTAGGCCAGATTCGTTCACTATTTTCAATAGGTATTGAGTATTGACCTTACAAATGTATAGATTTAATCAAGTTGCTTCTTTCATTTGCATTTAGGGTAATAATTTAAATATTACTCCGGATAGTATATACATGATAGTATATCCTGCAGGGAAGAGCAATCAGTCTAGGTACTACAGAATGCCCAAACTAAATTAAATTAGTACAAAAAATAAAAATAAATAAAAAGATAATAATAATTTGCTAGAGAGCATGCACGCAACACAATAATCGACAGAATGAACACATCACGAAAAAGGTATAAATCAAACAATATGTTGGCATGCTTTGCAAAGTGGTTTAGCTCAGCTTGCACTTCATTGAGAAGTGTTGGCACCATAAATCGAGCCATTTTGGTCTAATGTTCATCACTTTGTTGACAACAATGATGGTTTAGAGCTTGAGTTTTGATGTATGTTGCACATGGATATTGCATTTAGAACCTCATCAATCTATTGAACACCTTTTGAGGTGCTTTAGTGAGATTCATTCTTGTTTGCAAGTGCATTTGTGCATGATGATTGCATAAAATAATAATATTTCTTCATTTTTTGTGCACACTCAGACCCGTGTGGGCTCTAGGAGATTAAATTATAACTACAAATAAACGAAGAGGGTTTGCTATTTGGCAATTCATATTATGGAGCATGGAATTCTTTTCATGGTTTTTGGTGAACTGAGAAGGTACAGTGAGTAGTATCACTTTTTTATATGATACATTTTTTGTTCTTTTGCAAGCAAGTAGACATTTAAAGTGATATTACATTTATATGCTTACATAATTTTATCATGTCATTTTTTTTCATTGTGTTGTTTTATCTCTCCAACAATTTTGACTAAAAAACTTTAAAAAATTTAAATGTACTTAATGAAACCCTTGTGGAGGGATGCTGAAAAGTATGGGAACCTATCAATCCCATAAAATAGGCATGTATGGACAATGTAGAAGATGCATCAACCTAGATCAAGCCCTCCATTGTGTTAAAAAAAACATGTATGGTTGGTACTTGACAAAGGTGGAGTGTCTTATAGTGCTAAAAAAGCATGCAAGGATAACTTTTAGGGGTTTCACCATAGAAAAATAAAAAATAACATAAAACGACTTCTCCAAAATTTCAAAAAATATATGTACAAAGAGCATACAAGGAGACAAGGTTGCTCCATATACTTGGTGTGATGTTGGCAACACATTGGTCAAATAGAGAGAATTTAAAGAATAAAGGGGAAGAGATAGAGAGAGGTGAGGGGAAGAGATATCAATGAACATTCATGCACACAAGGAGATGTAAAAGAAGAAAGGAGAAGGAATGTAAAGGGAATCTTAAATGTATAAACATACACACAAATAGGATCAGATGGCCCCATACACTTCCATGATTTTTAGCTCGAGATGGGCACCACTTTGCACCCTCATTAAAAGAATTGAAATGGTGCTTGGTGTTCCGAAAGCACAAAAGAGGGAATAAGGGTACCAAAAATCGACCGCCATGCCAAACTAACCAGAACCCAATTCAAAAAATTGGGATTTCAGCTATCGATTAATTTTTTAGTCAAATTTAAGTCTAGAATCTTAAATTGTTTGATTTGGGCATTGACCTGCCAACTAAAAATTGACTTGCCAAGTTTAGCTAACTTCAAATTGACCTGCCAGCCTATATTCACCTGAATTTGACTCAAAACTGACTTGCCAACTTGAGCTAACTAAAAATTGACTCAAAACTGACCTGTCAACTTAAGCTAACTTGAAGTTGACCTGCCAACCTATATTGACCCAAATTTGACTTGAATTGTTATTATTTATTTTGAAAAATAGGTTATGCGGGTCGGAATCATGTTAGTAGGTTGAAGATGGGTCGGATTAAGGTTAAACTTATTGACACTTTTAATATTCTGATCAAGCTTAGGTCAAATAGTTTTGGTTCGAGCTAGTTTTAGATCAGACTTGAACCCAACCAACGAACACAATTTGATACCCATGAAGGGAAATGTTATTTTGTCAATTTTTTGAGATGTTTTTTTAAATACAGATCACTTTTTTATTTTATTATTTATAGTTATTACTATATATGTGTATATAAATACTTTTAAATTTAAGGTTTTTGTGCGTACAACTCCCCTGAATTTCATGTTCCTTGCTCCTCCTCTCACAAATAGTTTTCTTGTGTTGCAACAAGGGCCATATGAACAAGGGAGGATCTTCTCAAATCATTTTGGCATTTTAGATGCTTCACAATATTTGTTTGACAAAATCTATGATGAATGAGCATTCTTTTCATATGCATAGAGTTAGTTGATTCCTCATGAAACTACATCTATGATCTGTTATTAACTTCATGACAAAGTTTGCTTGACATTTGGACTTGAAGTAACTATTATGTTTGAGGATTTAGTTCAATTATTAGACTGCAGAATTTGAAATATGGGACATAATGAAAATCAACTTGAATTTAATTGGCTTAATACCAATTGTGTCCTCAACACCATTAGCTTCCATCAACACCACAAAAAAATTATTTGTCTATCTAGAGATTCTTATAATGTTTCAGCACTTCTTGCACCACAATTTTTGTCAATGCTTATATCACTCATATTCTTACATTTGTTACTTTTTACAGTGCGAGATACACATCCCTTTGTAATGGCATTCACTCTAATTAGCATTACTCATAACCTGTTGAAATACCCTTTAAATTCATGTTTTATGCATATCATTAAGCATGTCCTTTCTTTCAAATATGACCTCCCTATCAATTCTATAAAAGCTGATATCCATCTCCAAACATTTGGTTTTCCAAGGTTATCATTCAATCCAAAATTCAACAATTGGATAATTTGGATTGGCAGGCAAAACGAGTGTTTTGTTCTAACCTGATCCAACAACAACTCCAACTATTTCCTCCCTAACTATCCAGATGAGATTGCTTTCCCGATTCTCCCAAGGCTCGTGATACAAATCATAACCAAAATTAGCTAACAAATTGCAAGAAATATGTGAGAAAACCCAAATTAGGGCTAATTTGATAATCTTCAAGTAAACAAACAAGGCATAATTAGTGATCTATAATTTGAGAGGTAGATCGACTCTCCACAATCTCTAGGCACCGCTATGAGATAAAAAGACAAAAAGAAAATTACATGAATCAAAATGTGAAAATAAACCTTAAATGGTTAGCCCTAATAACAAACCCCCAAAATATATTCAAACTACCCCTCAAAGCCCCCCTTAATTCCTCTCCTCTCATACGTGATTATGGGTTTAATAGGCCACACTCGAGGGGCTGGAATCTTACCAAGCGAAAACAACAATTTATGCCCTCTAGGCTGTGTCGACGGGCTTGGCTGGATAAGGTCGGTCCAAGCCGGTCCAAGAGGGACCGGCATAACAACACTCCCCTCCCAAAGAAACACCTTGTCCTCTAACTAGAATGATAAAAGTTTCTGTTGAATCACTCCATAAGGCTTCTAAGTTGTTTTATAGTCTGATATATCTTTTTACTTAATCAGCAACTCCTTTGCCTCGATCAATCCTCAACGCTCCTCTTCTATCTCCAAAGGTTCCAAAAGCACTTCCATGTCCTTTGTTAGCGTCTAAGGTAGTGAAAAAGAGGGTGTGTGGTCTTCGATAGCACACCTCAGCTGTGATACATTAAGTGTCAGATGCAATGATGATGGTAGTAACCTCAGACAGTATGCCACTGCCCCAATGGGAGCCACAATCTCATCAGATCCAAAATATCATGGGGAAAGCTTCTTACTCCTATTGGCTAGTGTCTTCTATCAGTAAGATCCAAGCTTCAAATAAATCATGTCCCTGGGCTCAAATTGTACCTCTCTCCTATGTAGGGTTGTGAAATTGGCTCAATAATCATAAATCGCTCAAAATTGAATCAAAATTTAGCTCGAATC